ACCAAGTCAGATTATTACTGAAATAAACATTGACTGAATTAATGTGAGATGAGGAACGAACCGAAGTCAATTGAAAGGAAGAGGAATCTGAACATTGGGGGAAATACAGAGCAAGGCAGGTGTCCACCTACAGCCATCTGAAAGGGAAAACTCCATTTACTCAAGAAAAATTCCTTCAGTTTTGCCTCATGTGTGTGCACTCGTGAACAGGTTGGGATTACTGTTTACCCTTAGTGCAGCAGCTGGATCAGCTCCCTGTTAACGCAGGTAGAAGCCACACTTTAAAAGCTTAAAATATCTAGTTCTGTTTTGCCTGCGTTCCCAGAGAGGAGGTTTTATTGCTCCAAAGTCTCTGGGTTTATGGGAAGCCGTGGTTCGTCAGGAAAAGGCAATTTGCAGGGAGAACAGGCCATGCAATTTAATGGTAAACAGTGATACAGTAAACTAATTATTATAAAGAACTAACTCTTCTTCAATATAATTACTTTTTTTTAATTATTTATTTCAGAGGAGAGCAAAGAGCCCAATTGGATGAAGGGAAAACCAAGCCTGGGAAAGGGAAGGGGCGTTTTGTCTGTGGTGCTTCAAACCTGGAGCTCCAAAGTTGGAGCAGAACATTGGGTCCCTGCTCCACGTGTGTCTGCCAGACTGGGACCTGGGGACATCCTTACTCCTCTTCCTCACCCGTTTCTCTCAATTTCTGGGTATGTATGTCAGGATTTTAGTCTCAGGGCAGCAAAGCTCTAGGTAGGGAAACCACTCCCCTCCTGCCACGAAGCAGAAACACTACGAAGAACGTAAACGAGGATTTTTAGATGCAGTAAATCCCCCTGTGAGCAAATACATAACCCAGACAAGCAATACTACTTTGAAATATTCTAGTATCCCTCAATGTAATAAATATTTTATTAGAGTAATAGAAAAAAATGCATACAGATAACCATAGGATACACACACAACTGGAAGTTTTAAGGATAAATTTCAAACTTTTCAATATGAAACAAAGTACTCGGTACATATCTCATGGAGATATATAACTAGAAATCAAACAATACAATGTAATTGCGTGAAAATGGCAATACAGGAACATGGACTAGAATTTTGTGAAACAAGAATAGAAAGATTCACCCTTTGTTGCATGAAACATAACTATATATTTACTAGTAACACCTGGTTTTCCATCTCCCGCCCTCCCCCTCCCCCCCATTTGCAAGTGTCTGAGAACATCACTGGTTAGCCACATTGAAAAGCAACTAGCCATTTATAACTATTTATGTACAGTATATACAGATCTCGCTTACTTCAACAGTTAGCAGGTACTTTCATCTGGATGTGATACTAATAAGGTAATTTCCTATTTGAATGCATATCAAGGTATTTTTTTCTACAGTGCTACCATCATTTCATGAATCCTGGTTCTCTCCCTTTACATTTCTGTGTTGTGGTAATACTGTGAGATTAAAAAAAACCAAACCTCTTTAGAAGGATATGTTTTATGTCACATGAACACTTGCTCTACTGTGGGCAGCTCTCTAAAGGGTGTCTAAAAGGCTGACTTTGACTTAAGTCACAACTGCAGAAGTCAAATGTACCAGATTTAATGTATCTTTAACATATTGCTATGAAAGAAAGCATAGATTTCTCTATAATAGCAAGCTTGAAGTGGTTTTGTGTAATTTGTTTATTATAACCTATAGTATTGCCATAAACTTACCAGGCTCATATGACAGTAACGGGGTACATTAAGTTTTGAATTGGTTAAAGAGCAGCAGGAAGGAGAATTACGAACGTAACACTGAATTAAGGGTGAGTTTACAGAGCAGTGTGGCAGATAAAAGAGCAAGATAATTTGGGGCTGCATAACTGGAAGCCCCACGTGACAGGGTAGGGAGGTGGCAGGAGTCCCCTTTCATAAGGCCATGGTGCAACTGCATTTCTATAATGCTTCCCACTGGGCACTTTTGTTAGTGGAACACTGACAGGAGCTCAGAGAAGGGCAACAAAAATGATGCTGAAGGTGGGAGAACTTGATTATGAACAAAGAACCTGGTTAAGAAATATAAGAATAGGAGATATTAGGAAATTAACTTCTAAATCTATTGATGGAGAGGAAGGGCAGGTGTCTGAAAAGGAACAGAGAGCTTTCTTTGAAACACGGCTGGGAAATCAGTTCCTAAGAGTGGAAGCCTCTTGGACACCCCAAGATGGACGGTGCAAAACTAACATCTATACTGTGACTTTTCTTTGATTTCTTGCTAGATTTATAATAACTTCTCTAAAGGGCAGTAAGAAAACGAGTGCAAACCTACCGGATGATGACACTGTCCTAAGAGCAGCCCCTTGGTCGAGGTGTTACCATCCGGCCGAAATGCCACGGCTCTGCTTTCACCTCCATTATGCAGAATGTTATAGGAACAAGGCAGGACCTACCCCAAAGAATTCAGTGTCACTGCAAAAATGGAGTTTCTCACTGAGCTAAGCTTTATGTAACTCCCATCCCAGTACCATTGCTCTCCCCCTCTTACATTGTATCTGAAGTATGTAATATGTAAACTCCTTTGGTTCAAGTATTAAGGCATTTTAGATTCCTTTTTAAAGGATTTGCTAAACTTTATATGATATTTTTACTTCAACCTACAGTGAAATATAAAGAATTTAAAAACACGTCAGGATAGAAGAAAAACATGCATTAACCACTGCAGTTTTTTTTTTTTAAAAAAGCACTTTTCTGTAGTAACCAATTCTTTTTTTCTTTCCCCCAGCAAATGCAAATGTATCATCACAACACTGAATGAAGAGTCAAGGAAAGGATTGTCAGTAGGAAGCTGGACACGCTGAAGATGTTCAAGACTGATAGACCAGAACCTCTTGCATCCATACCTGTGACAAATGAAAAAGGTCAGGATTAAATCAAAGTGTGAGTCAAATGATTACTCTTCCTAGATGCTAAGCAAAAATTATTGCAAATTCTTATTTCTGACAGGCAATTAAAATTCCCCAAACTACACTAAGTATTTTAAAACTACAGAAACGTATTGCAAAATGCTGACACTGTACGAGTGGTCTTTGGTAAAATAATAAATAAAAAAGGAGATAATAAAAAAAAAGGAGAATAAGGTAATAATTAAAAAAAGGAGAATAAGGTAATAATAATAAAAAAGGAGTAAAGTAAAAAAATCTAATGTTTTTAATACCAATATACATGGTAATTTACCAGTTCAATAGAATGATGTTTGTCATGCATAAGGGCATGAAGACTGTTAATTGCTTTTCTTTTTGTTACACTATTGCCATACAACATACAAGCATTAATTCTTTTTTTTTTTCCTCCCCATCAATAAGGACTCAATCCCTGCAAGGACAAGCTGTGACAACTTCTGGGTGTCAACTGCAAACTCGGTAATGATTCATAAGGCAGAGACGTGCCTCTTTATGCCGCGGAGGTTCTGATATTGGTTGGGGACCCTGTAAAAACACATGAGAAATTAATAATGATTCAGGTTCAACCTACTGGCCAGTCTGGGAATCAGGATCTGGTCGCTGCTGCTGCCATCTCCGCCATCACTCGTTGCTTTTACTTCTATGATGTAATCATCATTAAACTGGAGCCAGAGCTCAGCCGTGGTCCTGTCCGTGTTCAGCACGTTCACGTGGGGCTGGCTGCTGGTCCTGTACAAAACCTGCCACACAAGCAAAGCCTGTCACCTCTTCTGCTGGCACCTGCCTCACATTTTTATTTGTGTTCCCTAGAAACGAGGTTTTTCAGGCTTAAAAAAGACCTGATGAGAGAAAAGATCTGATTTTTTTGGTTAATATTGTAGGGCAGAATTACATTTAAAGGAAGAAGGTAACATCAATCAAGCTCTTTTATTCCAGCTTTAATCTGAGATGGCGCAATGTATAATGATAACAAATGAGTAATATATTCTATTGAGTATGTCAATAATGTATTGTTCTACAAATTATCCCACCATTTAGAATCTGTCATTATCTGCATCAACTGCTCACGCCAGTACGCAGTTTGGGAAGGAGAGAACTAATCAAAATTACAGAAGAAGATGTACAGAAGATGGAAGATGTTCTGCAAGTGTGGAGTGATAATTGTGTCATGAAACCCAACGGCGTTGGGTGGTGTCCTGAGGGTCACAGCTCCCTGCTCGACATGGTCAGGCAAGAGGGGGGATTTAAGAGCAACATCAGCCTCTCTGCTGCCCGAGGGGTCCCCAGTGCCAGTGGCTGGTCTAGGAAACAGCAGAGTTTAAAAAAATACATGGATCTAGGGTGTTCTCTGGGCAGAGTTTCACAAACTGGTAAGTGGGTAAGTCTGGGAGCTTCCCAGTGCCAAAGGCGCAATTCCAACTCCTCCAAAATAACAGCAATAATGAAAAAAACCCACAAGGTCAGTGGAATTAGAGCCATGCTGCCACCCTGGGACACACTCCCTAACGATGTACAAAAAGCTCCTGGGGGGACACAGACACGTGGCTGGTATCCACAGCTGCACTGGCATTTGCATGTCATTTGTTGGCTCTTCCCTCCCTGGCAAACCAGCTTTTGTGAGCCCTACTGCCCTCACCTTCTGAGATGAAAACAACCCCCCAAGTACTTTGCTTCGGTAAAATTAAAAAAGCTTTATCAAAATTCAGCTTATCCTTGTGCACTTAGCAATGGTTGTTATCCACAGGGGAACCTGAAATCCTTTTGGGAGACAGAGTACGCAGATTGGAACTCTTCATGGGATGTTTTTAGGTCAAATTTCCATCTATGAAACTAGGTGGCTGATCTAAAGCTGTAAACATGTATTTCTTGCCAACAGAACTCACAACAACTGCACAGTCAGATCTTCAGCATAAATCTTTTATGCAGGAATGTACCGTGTGGGATCCAGCTGTACGCTGCCCATCAACAACATCCTTGGCTGTTCTCTTAACCATACTTCTGATATATGACATTTAAATACTCATACTGGTGCACTGATCAGATTCAGAGTAGCTGTAGTAAGGTAATTTCTATCCAGACAATGAGCATGACCCACAGTAGGTAAGAAGAGGTTTGATATATGCAGTACTAACAAATAGACCTGCCCAGCCATGGAAACTATTCTTGGATTATTTGGTTTATTTTCAAAATGCTACACACACAGTAGGTAAGAAGAGGTTTGATATATGCAGTACTGAAAAATAGACCTGGCCAGCCATGGAAACCATTCCCATCAGCTCAGTCTTGGATTATTTGGTTTCTTTTCAAAATGCCACACGTTTGGCTGTTACACATTTATAGTAGGTGTTATATATGTGATAAGTGTTATATATATTTTATAACATCCAAGTGTTATACATTTGGACAAGTGGGACCCCAAGAGCTGGCAGCAATGTCTGCAGCTCCCGGCGTTGCATAAAGAGGTGAAGGCTTTTAGTGAACTATTAATGTGAGAGGACAGCAGTTTGTGGGACACAAAGATTTAAGTCTATAAAACGGAGACACAAATGAAATGGTTTAGATGTGCATCTTCTGAACTTTCTGCCTTGCAAATAGACAAGAAAAAGCCAACTGTGGATTGCTTTCAGTCTGGTCTGCTCTCCCTTACCTTATACCCAGTCACCTCGGACTCGTTCTCCATGGCTCTGACTTCCTCCCAGCTGAGGATGACTCTGGAGTCGGTGACATTCCACATAACGTTTCCTGGCGGTTGACTGGGTGCTTCAAATACATAATAAAAGCATGACTTTAATGTAATTGGCATTAGTGATTTATTCTACAGTAGGAAATAATAGTTCAGGTAATTGACTGTCATTACGTGTTGGATGCAAAAGCAACTCAAAGGCAGCCTCGTCGTTTGTACACTTTATGGTTCAGAGACTAAATTGGAAAAACAGAAGGAAGGAAAAAATGGAATGGCACATAAATGTTATTTCTGAAGTTGCATTATCTGTTGATGGTCCTTCATTAAATACAGCGAAATAACGGCATATGTCTTAGGACACGGGTGATCAATTAGAACAAGCTCTAATGAAACCAGCGATGGTAACAATTACTAGTTCTAGTATATTGCCAAGAATAAGCAAATACTTCACAATAGATTATTTATTAGACAAATTTAGTCTCTGAATATTCAAATCTAAACACTATGCTGATTTACTTTTACATGTTTGTAATGTAAAAATATTGGACAGGATTTTTTTTTTGGTTTTTCTTTTGTCTCGAGGTGTGATTTTGAACCACAGCCTGTACCCCTTCTCTATCTGCAGCTGGAACAATGGTGGGATTTGGCCAAGGAAATCTACTGGGGTTTTTTTTGTTCATTAACAATCTGAGACTGTTATTTTCCAAAGGAGCTGTATGCTTTTGGCTGTACACTTTAATATATCTTGAAACTGCCAAGCTTTCAGGGAAGGCGAAGGTAAGTACAAACCTCTTTAAGGTGCCTCAAGTTGGTTTCCCAGAAAATGGGTCATGCAGTGACACAATCAACGATTAAAATCTTTTCTAAATGTGTTAAGGAAAACAATTTACTGTTGCTGTCACCTAGTGGAGGCAACTGCTGCTTAGGTGGACTGCGCTACGCTTTGATGCTGGAGGTTCCAGTACTAAACACTGACAGTGGTTTTGAACACTCCTGTCCAGGTGCTTATGGTGGGGTTTTTTCTACTTTTTTTTCCCCTCTTTTATTTTTAAACTCTTTCACACAGGTAGTTCCCTACCTTCTTTCCATGAGCAGTCAGATCAAAACCCACCTCAATTATACTTCTTAGCACACACTAGACGCAAAAATGTAAGAGAGAGACTTAAAAGAATGACTCTAAAGTCAAACAAGCACTCACAGGTACGTTTTTGCAGTATTTGCCTTGCTATGTATTCAAAATCGGAGCTCAGCTGCTGCACTAATAGCCACTTTTTGTAAATGTAAGAGATTGTTTTACTCCTGAGAATTAAGTATTACAGCGTATCTATGAACAGTTTTCACAATGAGATATTAAAGCTGAATTTCAAAAGCAATGAGTCACTCTTTTAAACCCACAACAAAGTATTAATATGACATCTGAAAAAAATGAAAGATAATTACATATAAAAACCAGTAAGTCTTTATCTACCGATTGACTTATGGAAGTGATTCAGAAGGCTCCAATTCACTTCAGAGACCAAAATCTCCAACGATCTGCACTGCTCAGAACTTGATGTGTAGGAGATCAGACCCTGACCCACCACGTCACGTAAGTACCCCTCCAGTGCTAAGTGTGCAAATCAGCTACACGCATTTCTCTGAGACTCCACAGATGCTTAAAGCTGCTCAGCTACACTAATATTTCTCTCTTGATTTAGAATCGATGGGCAGAACATATTGTTGTATTTTAAGACCTTCTAAATATGAAAGAATTGTGACATCTTGCCTTATAAACGTAATCAAGTCTTCCCCAGTTACTTGCCATTTTAGATAGCAGTATTTTTGAAAATAAAGCTACATTTGTCATTTTAGGCTGGGAACTTGCATTTTTATTTCAAATATAAAAGGAGAGATACTTTTAAAGTCAAAATCAATCAATCTTGAAATCTACTGACAATTGAAGTTAAGCTTTTGTGTTTCTTGATATGGTTAACAGTTACTAAGAAATATACTGTAGGTCCATGTGGTGAATGTAAACGCAGCGCACATGGACATCCTTGGCAGTGAGAAACACATCAATCACAAATATTCAAGTTAAGGTAGAAATTGGAATTGATTGATCAAAATTCATGCATTTGAATGAAATATCAGTTTCTATTGCAGGGGCACAGAGAATTTTTTGTCTTAGTTAATTCAACCAGTAGTTAGCAGAATCCTTCAGACTGACATTACACTGCACTGCAGTGGTTTTGCTCTCTTTAGTCACCAGTGAGATACATGGACTTCATGCAACTCAGTTTTGTTTTTAATAATTTCAAATAGCATCGATGTTGACTGAGGGCCTGATGCAGATCCTGTTCCAGTGCTTATCTAGTTCTCATTCACACACCCCCAAAAAAAACAGACTGAAAAACCCCTGAGCTGACCGGGCTGGCACAACCTCTAGTGAGCAGCCAGTAGCTACGAAGATAATTAATTAGAAAGAACTTTTCATCACGTTAGATACAGGCTACAGACAGTGAGTTACTGCAGATCAGCCAATTCGTGGTAACTATGCAGATAATGTATTTAAACTCTAGCAAATATGCTAATCTGAGTAGGTTCAGTCCTCAGTGACAGAGAGGGACACTCGTTTCTGCCTATAATAATTTCTGATAAACTAGCTTATTTCATAATATTGATGATGCGACGACTTTTGGTGGAAGGATGTTAATGACTATTGCAGGGAATTTGACCTTTCAGACAGATTTAATTGGACATTCTTGTGAGTCTGACAGAAATACTTCAAGACTGATGACCCTGACTCCGAGTTGTATTACAATGCAAGAGCATACTAAAAATATTTCCATTTGCAGAAAAATTAGTGCAGCCTTTGACAATCTGTTCTCCAGCTTAATTTCTCCTTTTAATAGTAAAGTGGCCTCTTGTGTAATTTGTTCAAGGGGAAACAATGGACATGAAGGATTGTTTTGCATGAATTGTACGAGGATCATTGCATTTCAAAAGCCGTGCCCTAGAGAACTTATAAATATGTTATAAAACCCTGAAAAATTCAACAAGTTGCCATCTTTTTCCTTCCAAATAACAGAAATTTTTCTTTTAACATTCTCCCAGTCACTAGAAGAATAATAAAGGTTCTATTCTATGGAGAAATTATAGATCTTACTTCAGCTCCACTGGCATAGTTGGGTTTTACTTTCTCATCCCGCTAAAGTAGCGGAGGGTGGAAAAACCAGAAGATCTATACTCCAGTTAATTGTGTAACTCCTCGAGTCTGCATGAAAAGTTAGGTCATTTATACATATTGTGTTTCCCAGTAACGTGCCTATTTTTCATTTTCCCTGCAAGTGCCAACTGCACCGTTATGTCTCCTCTCCCCACTTTAAATTTGAGGAACTTACGTGTCTTTTTGGTGGTGGCGTTCACTGTGGCGCTGAAGGGCCCGGCCCCCGCGCTGTTGTACGCCCGCACAGCTGTGTAATACACCAAGTTGCTCTTCAAACCTGTTATTCTTATTGATGTCTCATTCCCTGCAGCTTTTACTCTGTTTGAAGAGTCTTCCTTCCCACCATTATTCCAGTACCTAACCTAGTAGACAGGAAACAAAACCATTTAAAATCTCGCACAGAACGGGCCGTTCACCCACGGCGCTGCTTTTGACTCCTTTAAGTGCATTTTTTTTCCTCAGCTGAGAAAGGCAGAAATACATTTAAGTTTCAAAAAATATGATTACTATGTAAAAAAAAATTCTTATCCTTCTGCCTTTCATGCCTGCTCCTGTTTTTAATGTGACTGTAGGAAACAGGGAACTGAAATATTAGATCCCGTTTGAATTAAAAAATGACAAGACGGAAATCATTACTTCATCTAAAAAGTAAACAAGTTAAACTCAGAAAACTGTATCTTACAAAATAGTTTCCGTGGAAGTAAATGTAATTCTGAAAAATATGTCCATTTGAAAATATGTTAGACAGGCACATGACTATCAGCACAGGAAGCTAAACACAATTTCATTGTGTTCTTCATTTTCAAAGGTACTTAGAGGAAAATATCCTTCTGTTTGGTGTAGGTGCGGCAGAGAGAAAGCAAAATGTGCAGTAATCTTTTGTAAATTAGGTATTTCTAGAGTCTAACACTGTGGCTGTTTGCTTTGATTTTTTTCAAATATTTTCATGAAAAAATTCCAGTTCAACAGAATCCTGATTTCTGAACAGCTGGGGAATTTCTGGGGAGAAGGTCTGAGCTGGAGAGGTCGCTTGTGTCTTCAAGCCCCGAGTCCTGCAGCCCAGAAGCAGGGGGTCCTGCAGAACATCCTCCCCACAGCCTGGTCTCCATTCACAGAACACTCCATACGGGCCCAGACCTAGTGCCAAAAGCCACAGCCATCAACTGTCCCCAGAAAAGAGCAGCGATGGCAACATTCCCCATGCTCTAGGGTCCTGCAAACGTTAAATGTGTGTTGGGTTAAAGGCTCAGCATCAACCTGCACAACCCTTTATGACACCAAGATGGGGAGTGTATTTTAAATGCATTTACCTCGTAACCCAGTAACCTTCCACTGCTCATCTTCCAGGGGATGGCTGTCCAGGAGACCTCGATGACGGAGGATGACAGACTCGTGGCAGACACCCCAGAGGGTGCAATGCTTGGCTCTGTATTTGGAAATCAATAAATGAGAGAGCAGCAGCATTGGTGACTGTGGAAATAAACACATCTGTATCCAAAATGAGCTCATTTCTATTAACTGCGGCTGCATTCTCTGATGAAACAGCTCATGTTTAATATCTGGAGTAACTCAATCCATCTGGAGATAAACACATACCTTCTTCAGCTGAAAAAACTGTGGTTACTGAACTAAATGGCCCTTCTCCTTTATTGTTGTAGACACCAACTTTGACTTCATAGGGTGAAAAGGGCAAGATGCTTTCGTTCCTAAAGACGTATCTGGGTGTGTCGGGAGAGGTGACCACGGTCTGTATCCACGTTGTGGTGCCAAAGGGGCGGAAAGCGACAACGTAGCCAAAGCCTTCTCCATTCTGTAATTCCTCAGGGATGGGCTGAGGGAAAAGCAACAGACAACAGGTTCTGGTACTGAATTTGGGATCATTCCATCAGCAAATTAACTCTGGTACAGCAGAGCGAAATGTGTTCCTTTGAACCTATTTTAAAGTTTGCACTTGAAGAAGAGAACAACTTTCAGGCATATTCCTTGTTTTCCACTAAGTGTAATATTTTAAGACACTCTTCAGTAAATACATTTCTTTTGTTTTCAATTTCACAATCCATAGTTCATAAAAAATTAAAAATCGCTTAGTCAACTCTTACAGAATCCAATACTACCTTTGCACAGTGGCTTACACCTTCCTCTGAAGTGATTATGATTTGGTAAGCACACAGAGTAGTCAATGTTCGTGTGTTAATATTTTTATCACTCATTAAAAAGGCAATACATAATATAAAGTAGTATCTGATTGTTTGGATTGGCTCATACACACATCCAGAGTTAATGGTAGGAAAGCAACAACTGCAAATTTGCACTGAAAAGCATCGTTCTTTGGCTCGACCTTCGATCAACACCCCTTCCTCTTCCCCTGCCCTCCTGCCCCCGTTTTTAGTGTTAACATTTGTTTGAGAACAGAAGCAATTTCAGCCAAAGGAACTAAATTTCCTACTGATTGCCATCTGGCGCAGTAATGCGTGGAAGCAAAAGGGGGAAGAAGGCAAACGTGCCGAGCTGACGTTACAGACTGTTACTGAGCACATGCACATCCTAGAGGAGAAGCTGCTGCAGCCCGGGGAGACTCATCTTTAAGAAGAGTCTGAATGAAAACGCTCAGTCTTTGAAGAAAATTTGCTTGCCCGAAAACTTACATCCCATGTTATGACCAGTTCGGACCTGCTGCCTCCTCCCCCGCTGACCTCAGATGGGGGGATTTCAGGAGCTGTGAAGAGGAAACACGTGGACATGAACACACAGCGGAGACAGAGGAGAAGACATCATACATTAACCTCCGACGCTAACCCGGTCGCATTCATATTGCTTTTGCAAATCAAAGCACTTTTTTTTTTTTGGAGGCAGGGTTGCAGTCACCCTCCTCGTTTCCATCCCTGGGGGAGACTGATGAACCTCAGCAGCTGAAGAACCCCCCAGACTGAACCCTCCATCCGCACCTTCACGAGCTTCTAAAAATCAGAGGCAAGCTTGACTTTTTTTCTTTAATAGGGCTAACTTATGCAGAAGGATTGGGCAAGGGCCTTATTCCAAGTAAACTCCTGGGGTTTTAATTGATGTGCTCTTCTGAGCCACACGCCTGTTACATGGAAGGTGTGCGCTGATCAAACGCTAGGCATGAAAAAACACCCTGTCAAAATTAACCTCTTTCCATCCATTAAGACCTTCAGACTCAGCAGCTCTGCCTGAACTGACAGACTTTGGCACAGTAAATAGAGTTTAAATATATTTAGACGTTATGCTTCTGTGCTGTTCAGTAACACAACACAAACAGTCCCACAGAGAAATCGAAAAAAAATCAGGAACAAACTAGTTATAGGCTTTTATATTTGATGGCAATTCCAAGCTTGTTTGCAAAAAGCCAAGGATATGAATGCTCTTTTTTTTTTTTTTTTTGGTTAATATTCAAGACTCTTGAATTAAAAACAAATAGAAGAACCCACTAACCTGCCTCTTCAGTTCTTACTTTTTCTGAGGGCAAACTAGGTTCTCCACCTCCTATTTTGTTACTGGCAACTACACGGAATTCATATTCAACCCAAGGATTTAAATCCACCACTGTGGTTGTGAATGTTTTTCCATCGATCACATCTGGAACTGTTACAAACAAAAAGGAAAAAAAAACAAACCTAAGAACACGGTGTCCCTGCTTAACAAACATTTCAACAGAACCTGTACCAAGAACTGTGATTTACCTGTTGTAACTCGCTGCCAGCCAACCGAAAAGGGGGTCCTCGCCTGTACGGTGTAAGCGGTCACTGGGCTGTGATTGTCTGTGCCTTCCTGCCAGGAGATCTGAGCCGTGGTATCAGTTATTTCATCCACTTTCACGTGTTCGGGGGGCCCGGGTGAGCCTAGAGTCAGATTGAAAAACACACGGGGTTTTGTAAAGTCAGTACCCTGGAAACCATGGACAGGGCAGTTGGGATTCCCACCTCATCAGCGCTGTGGGAGGAAGAAAACAATTCAGCTTGGAATAAGAACACTTGTAATTATTGTTGTACATCCACTAAACTTAACTCTGATCATCTAATTCTGAAATACTCTGAACTGCAGCACAGATGACTGGGTTTTGTGTTTGTTTTTTTTCCTGAACTGCAGCACAGATGACTGGGTTTTGTGGTTTGTTTTTTTTTTTTCCAAGAACCTTTGTTCAGCATGAGCCCTCTATCTTTCCAATGTCTTTTACTTTAGTCCTCAATGTCCTCGTTTAATCTACTAATACATCTCTGTAGTCTGCCAATTTGTTATCTACAGCTGTTTTACTGTACAATGCACACTAGCAGTTTTTCAGCACAACATCTGATCAGCAATTCAGCCAGATGAGCTTCCTGCTGCCTTCTGGAAAATCCTGATTCTGGGCATCCTGGCAAAAATGCATGTTTTTGTCTCATCTACACCAGCAAAAAGGTTTGAGATAACTCGTTTCCTCTCTCAGTGATTTGAAGGACTGTCAGTGAGAAAAGATGTATAGTCAAGATTTATTATATTCTTCAGCTCTTAATTTCTCTGGGAAAAATTAAGCTTTATCCAAAAATTGAGCTAACTGCAAGGCAGAATCATGTAATTCAAGTCATAGATGAACTGGGTTTTGTAATCCACAGTATCAGTTGTCTCTGAAATCTACAACACACCAAAGTTAGAAAACATGATTCATGTTAACTGAAGCTGAACTTTACCTCGTACGATAAGGTCGGCTGCAGATGCCACACTATCCACTTCTGTCTTCACCATACAAACATATTTTCCACTGTGTTTCAGCTGGATGTTTCTAATCATTAAATCTCCCGATGCGCTCTGTTGAAATACAAAGGCCTTATTAACGTAAATGTACTACCTTGTAATTTAATATTAACATTACATTTATAAATGGAAACAAAGTCAACCAAAAACGTTGAAGATAAAGTTGCTTAAAAATTGCCACTTGGCAGATGGCCTGCAAGTTACTACCCATCAGCTGCTCCCTGGTAACTGTCTGCAAGTATTTCCCTAATAAACATGAAGCTGTGTCCCTCTTCTACAGGAGAAGAAAGCTACAACATGGTTAAATCCTGCTGGGAACGTGCCTCCTGACTGCTATTAGGAACCAAGAAGAAATCAGTGCCCTGTGACCAACCCTTTGTCTCAAAGCCCTAAGACAGAGAAAAATGTGGTTTCTACAGCCATTAACCAATTTGTCTTCCAGACAGAATTTTTAAGTCTAGTTGTCACAGGTTCAAATACAGAATTTTTAAGTCTAGTTGTCACAGGTTTTTGAGGAGTTCAAACGTACACACGACAAAGCTGGATTTGGTCCATTCAACAGGTTATTGAGAGCACTTTCATTTCAAGGTTGTACCTTTCGGGCTAAATTCCCCATTTTACAAGTCTAAGTTCTATTCATTGTTTTTGATTGAATATTTCATCTTTGGTCACTTTTGGTCATTTTGGTCTCTCTCATGTCATAGCATGTGGATGATCTCCTGAATCAAGGGAAATGTAATTAAAACTTGAGTGATAACTGTGACTTCATATCACATTAGGGCTCTTTGCATACCATTTGTTTTCCACATCACTAAGTAGGAACTTGATACTAAAATTCACTTCAAAAATTGTCCTCTTTGTGTCAGCTGAATTACAGCTTTAACCCAGTTCACATCTTATTTTCCAGGTGAAAAATCTCTCAGTCAGGCTGCAATTTTAAGAAGTTATTTATTTATTTTTTTAATTTTCTGAAGAAGCAGCACTTCATTTGAGGACAGAACCCTGTTTTGTGGCTATTTTCAGCTACTTTGGCCATACATTGATTCATAGTCACACAGTAATTTAACAAAGAGGAAGACATGATTCTGCAGTTTCTTTTAGTCTTAGAAAAAAAAAGAGAGCAACCTTTCCAAACTGTCAGGCCAGCATTATGTCTCACTTCTTTACTCAACACAAGCTGAACACAATTCTGCCTGTTTCTCTTCCGTGTGTGACACTGCAGATTGCCTGGTCTTCTCTCAAAACACAAATGTAAGCATTTGCAGGACATTTCAGCAGCAGAAGTTGAGTCGAATGCAATCTAAAATCGATCTATTTGATTGGCAGTGGATATTCAGGATGACCACCAGCAATGCAGACTCACAAGCAAATCATGTTCTACATCAACTCATTTTAGCAAACTCCATTTAAAACATCTCGACACAGGGGGCTGTCAAATAAGAGTGATTTTCCTTGAAATAAAGACCACTGAAAAATTAACACTAATTACACTACGTTTAAATTATTTGTGGATATTTTGGGGAAGAATCTCAAAGTACTGGGAAAAGCAAAGAAAGCAGTAGGAGCAAAAAGCTCCAGTGTAGAAGACACCGTCACCTCCCATGGCTCTGCAGACCATCAGCAGTAGCCACATTTCTTGCGTGCCCAGATTAAATGTTTGTCAGCGTGGACAAGTCCAGGTGATGGTGAGGTCACCTTCCTTCCTCCATGCTACACAGAATGCAAATAAAGAGTGGTCCAAGCAGTATAAACAGCTGCTGAAGCTGCTTCTCCTGACTGTGTAAGGACCTCACCCGTTGCTGGGCTCTATGAGCAGGTGATGACCGGAACAATTTAGAGGCAATCTGTTCAAAATTTTGGAATCTGCTTGGTTTACCATACTCTTTGTATAAATCATCCGTCTACCAAAAAAAAAAAAAATTAAAAAAAGAGCTGTAAGACAGTGTTACATCCTATATTTTTCTAACCATCTGGAAGACCAGGTGGTGGTCCCGTAACATTCCCATTAACTACTCCGTGTTGGAGACCTCAGACGTGTGGGACGGGGACTTCCAAGACATCGTACACAGAAATCTAGCCATTCAAAAATTATTTTCCCTTTGCCATGTTTACGACCATCTGAAGTTATTTTTGCACAGGTATTTTCATTTAACAAATAAACACTGAAGCTACTGGAAAGCTCAGAACATATTTATGCTGTCTTATTTACCTACCACAGCCCGCATATGACTCCAGATGAAATTATACCAATGACCTTAATGGGATACAAAGCCCATAAAATATTTTCAAGGATCTCTTGGTAACCTATGAAGTTTTCTACGAGCAAGCTTCAATCCCTCTTGACACAAATAAGAGTTTTTAAAAAAATCCCAAACCTCTAAATGCCCGTATTCCATCAAACCCCCTAATTCTGTCCCTTATGACAAACTTCCAAGTAAAATGTTCTAGATTCACAGTTCTGAGTTGGCCAACACTCATCCTGGAGTTTTCTTCAGCACTAAATTAATTTTTTGTGGTGAAACTACTTTTTGATGCTTTTTTCCCTTAGAGGGAAAAAAAAAAAAAAGAAGACATCTCAACAAGGCTTTGATTTGGAATTATGCCTGTGTTTGTTTTAGGAAAAAGATGGAGGTTTAGTGAGAAAAAATGTTGCATTTTCCAATCAGCTTATGAAGCCTTAATTGAGCCAGTAAAATTGTCAGATTCAGGTTTTGGTATGTTTTAACCTTTCCTTTCTAATATTACTATTGTATATACAACCAGAGTACAGCTGGGGGGAAATATTACTAAATAAATAAAGTCCATGTAGCAATACTGGAAGGTAACGGGCTATGAAATGGGAGCGTTCCCATTACAGCATGACAGATGGTCAGTTCGTAATTCTCAAACCATTTCTGTGCAAATGTACATGATATATGAACATCTCCCGGCTCCTACAAGGAAATCTCATCATCTCTACGTGCACTTGTGTTTAATCAATCGCAAACTGCAGAACAATCTCTGTGTTTGGTGCCTCCTGATTAAAGGCTAAATCTTCCGAGGTTTTACAGGCAAAAAGGAAAAAGTTAGGTGCTGAAACGTCATAGTTTCACGGGCAGCAGTGCTGAATCCCCAGCTACTCCTCTGCAGCAGGGGATCTGGCAAGAAGGTGTGAAAGGAAACCATGAAGGTTTATAATGGCCAGTTTCATGCTGATGCTCAGCTGCTTGTTTTGTTATCGCTTGGCCTTGCCTTGCACTGTAACAAGGCCTTTTGCTGTAATTGATTTCATTCTCCTGATACATCCTTCATCTGTCTTAATGCTTCACCTTTTATGCTTTGATTAGAAGGCTAAATTCCAAACACCATTAATGTCACCATCCCCGCTCCCCCTCCCCAGCAGCATCTCTGCATCGGAAATATTTAATGAGATACCCGGCTTCTCACCCAGGGAGGCTCAGGCAGAACGTGGAGGGATACACTAGGGATAAATGTGCAGGAAAAATTAAGAAAAGATGGGATATTTTGTTTGGCTTTAGGCCAGACAAAAGTTGGGAAGTCTGAAGCAAGTTCTTCAATCTATTATTGATGTGTTTCATGCGATCTTGGGAAAATCACCTAAGATCAGGTGCAGAAACAGGGATAGGTACTTGCAATACTTCAGGTCTGAAATATAGATGATGTGCAGCAAACTAGCTCCATGAACGATCTCCCTCCAACACAGAAGAAAAATCTACACGCTCAAAAGAGAAGAAACATCCTAATTTTACCACGTTGAAAAAAGAAAATAAGCAATCCTGTCTGTGTTGCATAAGACAAGTGAAGGGAAGGTGTTTGCAACTTACCCCTCCAACCTTCTCAAAGTGAGAAGCGTCCTTCTTGAAGTCGGTGAGCGTCCCGTTGAAATACCAGGTGAAGCTGATGTCCAGTATAGGGTCGTGCTGGACCTGGCAAGGCAAAACCACACTTTCTCCCACAGTCACGTCCATGTTGGAAGGTGCCAAAGTAATCCTGGTTGGCTCTGTGGAGAGCAGAAATATCAGTGATTGGATCCCTGCACTGCTGAGCTTTCCCTGCTACTAATATTCTACCACGTTCTTCAAATCTGATTAATGACAGTCCAAATTATGCAGCTGGACTATAAATGCTGCTGCCCGACCCCTCTTGTCAGAGCATTGTGTCCTGGCACATTTACCAGTGGGAGCTTCTCAACACTGAAAAGGTAAATTTTAACCTGCTGCGTCCAGGCCAATATAATTTACAAAGCTAAAAGGCACCACAACCCACAGCAATGAAATTTCCATTCAAGAGCATGTGTGGTTCTCAGCAATAACACTCATGATTTGGAGCAGGGAGCTGTAGTAGCAGCCACTGGGAAGATTAAGAGGTGGGAGTGAGAGAAGGAGCTAATAAAATCTGGAAACTAGAGGAAATCCACATAGGGTAGAACGCAGTGGGGTTTTGGGTCCACATAGCATAGAGAACATAAATAAGAACATAGTAAGAACAGCTGCTTGTTATCCCAGATTCACAGTAATGGAGAAAAATTTCAAGTACTGTAAATACTGCAAAAATATAACTTGATTCTGGAAATCCTTTGTATATAGTTCTATTGTTTGTATATAAAGGGACATGACTCATTCAGGAGCACAGACTGAAAATGTGAAGCTGCTAATTCACTGAGCAAAATAATTCTGTTTGGATCTATGAGATATACAGGATATGTAATGATGTAGGATATTAGATCATTCTGAGTTTGGAAAATCTTTCAGATATTCTGATCTTTAAAAAAGAACATCATGAGAAAAGACATTCTTCAGATAAACTTCACAGACTACTGGCCCTTTGCTGGTCCTAATCCAGTATCTCAGACAGCAGCTAGTAATGGATGACTTAGAAGAAGGGGCAAGAACCCTTTTAACACCAATTATGTATATATTTTGCTTCTGAAAGACTTTGTTTTTTACTGCTCTGAACGCTCCTGCAGCTGGAGTTTGAGTTTCTACCACATCTATTTCCATACAGCATGTAATCCTTAGGGCTAAACAGATTTTGGACTAAAATATAAAATTACCTCACACTTTTTTTTTTAATTGGCTTTTTTTTTCTTTTTGGACTAAAATATAAAATTACCTCACACATTTTTTTTTATTGGCTTTTTTTTCCCCCACAAATTAAAAATCCCTGAAACTTAAAGGTATAATTGCACTGATTTAGCATTGAGATGAGTGAGAGAAGGGAGATAAGCGTTCAGAACTCCCTCACATCTGAGAAATATCTTTGTCAAAGACAGAAAATCCCAGTCTCTTTCCTCTCAACAAAAAAAAAAAAAAAGATATATAGCAAATATCCTTTTATTTTTATATACTGTTAAACATATAACTTCTCACACTCTTTGCTTTCCACCACATTAGTATTTTTTAAGTAAACTCAGTCTCCACAGCATTGCAGACTTCTGTCACAGAGTTTGTAATTTAATTTACATCACCTCACAGCTGCCCTTCTGCTCCACCTCACCCACCTGTAACTATTAAGGTTGTTGAGCCACTGGCTGTTCCAAACTGGTTTGTGGCCAGGCACGTGTAGCTTCCAGCATCAGCTTTGGTCACATTGGCTATTCTTAGTCCTCCATCCTTTAATAACACGACCCTAAAAAATTAGGAAGAGATTTTAAAAGTTGCAGTGTTGGTTTGTAGACAAAATGCTTTAATACTCACGCTGTTACCTCAGATATATCAAACTGCACCAATTACCGACCTGATGGTTGAAAATTTTGTGGCCATACACTGACAATATACAACAAATTTGAACCCATCTGTGTATTACCCATCATTTTGGACACCGGTGTTTAAGACATGTATGTGTGCATACGTATCTTTGTGTGTGAGAGAGAGAAATCCCACATTAGCTCCATCTTTTTCAGCTGTACCAGTTGAAACTAGAATAATTTTCAATTGTATAATGTTGTTTACCTCAAGCAGTCTTGAAGGGTAACTCTGAAATAACTGTCTATCACTACCGAGATGGAGGGAAGAGGATTTTTCATAAGCAATATGCATTTTGCACTTCTCGGGATGCACAGATAGGAGACTAACACACACCACGCTGAAGTCAACAGCTCATTTGAACAACTGCCTCTCTAGGGTAGGATTCAGCCCAAGCAAGTGTAAACTCAGCATTTGTTTAGAAAACAACCGAGACTTCACGCTGTTGCAGATTCTGTCTCAGTTTATCATCTACACCGAGCAGGAGTGACCTGCAGACGCGGTACGGAAACGCCTTCTGGTAGGACTTGAAGGAGAAGGAAATTCCCTCCACCCAACACAAATTCCACGCATTATGCCTAATGGACAGATAGCGTGGAGCAAAACAGAAAGATGCTCACAAAAGATGTGAACAAAAGCCAACTTGCAAACGCCTTCTGGTAGGACTTGAAGGAGAAGAAAATTCCCTCCACCCAACACAAATTCCACCCGTGAGAATTATGCCTAATGGACAGACAGCATGGAGCAAAACCAGAAAGATGCTCACAAGAGATGTGAACAAAAGCCAACTTGTGTTACTGACGTTGGCAGCAGAGCACCAGCAACCCAAGAGCAGAGATGACACCCTGGACACCAGCACTGGAGGGATGCCAAGGTAAGGTTAATTCAACTCCCTTTTTCCCTGTTTCTAGTCCTCCCATCTGTCATATCCTCAGATGCAGGACCTTCTACCACATCTTCCTGAGGATAACCTGGAGCAGATATATAACTAACTGTATATAAAAATGTCTAGAATAATAAAAAAGCAAACAACATTTTCCTGATATACCTAATTCTAGCTCCAATCACATCAATCCATTTCAAAGGCACCAAAGGAATCACGGCGAGCCCGTTCTGTCAGCTCCCTGAGCACCTGACCTTAAATCACATCAATCCATTTCAAAGGCACCAAAGGAATCACGGCGAGCCCATTCTGTCAGCTCCCTGAGCACCTCTACCTCGAAGAGATCTTGGAAATGCCCCAAACACCCACATCTTCACTCCACAGAACCAAGAGAACAGCAAACAACATTAATGCTCCAGGGGAACCTCTAACCACATTAGCTGGAGTCTTACACACTTGTCAGAGCACGTAGCAGGTGAGGAGACAGCAAATGTCCTGAAAACTTCACACTGCAATTTTCCCTTTCTCAGAAGAGCTGTGAGAATTTTTCCTTCTTGCTCGCACGTACTTCATTATTGACCTGCTTCTTTATTCAGTACAAAATTAATTACATACAAACATACCTCCCTGCTGCTCCTTTTATTTTTAACATTCTTGAGGCAAATTAGCATCAACTGATCTCCAGCGTTTGTCCCAACTTACAGATTTAGTTATCTAAAGTTAAATACATATTAGAAGAAGTAGATGGAGAAGTCCACTGTGTTGGGTGGAAATTGTCATCACTTGGGATCTTAGAATCACAGAATGGTCAGAGTTGGAAGGGACCTTAAAGATCATTGAGTTCTAACCCCCTGCCCTGGGCAGGGACACCTCCCACCAGACCAGGTTGCACAAAGCCCCATCCAACCTGGCCTTGAACCCCTCCAGAGATAGAAGTGTTCTCAGAATCTTCTCAAAACTTGTCCCAAGCATGGGATCAGCAGGATGCTCACTTGAAAAACAACAGACAGGTTCCTTGCTCTTCTGGCATTCACAGTGTGAGCAATTCTCCATGTGAAACCCTGCACGTGCTACGGTGGCTGAGGAAGGATAATTCAAGCTGCAGGGGAAGCCTGTGAAGACCTCCAGGACTGCAGGCAGGCACCCAGTGAACACAACCCCTTGGATTCAGTTGCGTTGCCACAAGAAAAGTCGGTCCTTAAAAGGTATACGCTTCAGTAAAGCCAAACTGCCATTCATTATTTATATTATAAATATTACAGTGGGTTGGGTGGTTTTTTAAAGCAATTTGTCTGAAGGCATATTTTGGAGAATAATTAAGTTGGTAAACAAGGGCAGCAGAATGCAGCTCTGGAGTTTGATGGGTTCAGTGAGCTCATCCCTCAGCCCTAACCCCTCTGCCCCTCCAGACCCACACTGGGGCACCGCAGACACGGCGTGGGCGTCTCTCACAGCTCCGTGGCTCTGCTGCTCCTCTCCCTCAGTGGCAATTTCACCCCATCCTCAAGGCCACATGGAAACTGCATTTAAATGCCTGAGGGCAGGAGTCTGCATTCCTTCCGCAGCCGCACTAATAGCGCACAGCTCTTCACAATGAAACTTACTCTAGAAATAAGGGCAACTTTTAATTGTTTTTCATAATTATTCTGAATAGCATTTTATGTTTTCTTAAAAAAAGGTGTCGTAACACTCGTTGCTGCAGCTGGGGTTATTCAGCCTGGAGAAGAGGAGGCTGAGGGGAGACCTTATTGCTCTCTACAACTCCCTGAAAGGAGGGTGTAGAGAGATGGGGGTCGGTCTCTTTTCTCAAGTACTGGGGCACCGCAGACACGGCGTGGGCGTCTCTCACAGCTCCATGGCTCTGCTGCTCCTCTCCCTCAGTGGCAATTTCACCCCATCCTCAAGGCCACATGGAAACTGCATTTAAATGCCTGAGGGCAGGAGTCTGCATTCCTTCCGCAGCCGCACTAATAGCGCACAGCTCTTCACAATGAAACTTACTCTAGAAATAAGGGCAACTTTTAATTGTTTTTCGTAATTATTCTGAATAGCATTTTACCTTTTCTTAAAAAAAAAGGTGTCGCAACGCTCGTTGCTGCAGCTGAAATCCATTTCCTTTGGGCAAAGGTGATACAATAATGAAATTATCAGATGCAAATTACAAGTGATAACAAGTCACCTTGTTAGAATGACAGACAAAAGCATCTTACATGGGGGAGAAGAGAGTTATAAATAGACAGACAGTTAAATCAGTTTACATTTGGAGGTAACCATCTTCCAACCTTCCCACTGAGGTACCTAAGCCAACGTGGTGGTGTTTGAGGTGTATTTGTAAGGAGACTGTTGCTTCATCAGCGTCAGCACCACTTAAGCTTCCCCAAGGCTTATTAACTTGTTTTGGAAAGTAATATTTGGCTGTACTTTATATTAGATGGAACACTTATAATTAATTACATCCTACAATATGATTTATAGGTATTTTAAATGTGTTAAAGATGTGATTAATACATTTTATAGGTATATATAATGACATCAATAAAAGGTGTTAATATATATCAATTATGGTTGCAAGCAAGCTGTTGAAATGCTGGACTTGCTATCTGCATGTTTTGCTAAGGCCTGTATTGCAACATCTACTTTGAAACAGTTTCCAGTAGAAAAAATGCAAAATCAAATAAAAAAAAAAAACAGTGTTGACAAAGCCTGAGATCAAACAAAGGAAAAAACCAGGATCGGGGCATAAACCAGAAACTGTCTATTGTTTAATTAAAATGAATCACATTTAGAGTGCTCTGAGCTATCTGTAAGTCTAGCTTGCCTCAAATAATTAAGCAATAGGCTTATTAAAACCAAGATATAATTAAGAAACAAGTTGGGGGTTTTTTTCCAGAATTAAAAAAACCCAACAACCAACCAACCAACAAATCAATTCTAGAAAACAACTATTGAAAACTAAAAAACTTTACTGGTAAATTAAAAAGAGAAACGCTTTAGTTTTTCAATTGCAAAACAGTAAATGCAGCCAGAAATAGCTCTACCCCTTCTCGCTGAAACATTAGACAAACTAGAAATTTTAGCATACTTTAAATTATTAGATATTCAAACACTGTGATAAAACAAATGTAGTGCAGCTGGCCCTCTGCCAGGAAGCGATCTGGATCTCTAACACAGAAAAATAACACATCCTTTGGCATTTTCTGTATCTTCAAGAGTTTTTCCAATACATTTTGCTCAAGGCCAGCAATTTTCGAAGTGAATTCTGTTTTCAACAACCTGCACACTTTTGATGCACTGGCAAATGGGAGAAACTTTTAGCCCTGTAAAATAGAGATAACTGGTGGAATAATGCTTTGGCACATACCCATTTGCACAACTGGAGACTGATTTAGGACCTGTTTGGTCATCAGATCAAAACATCATTGACAAAATCATCATCTTTTGCTAACTCCTGAGCAAAACTGTGAGAAATCAATCTTTGAGAAGATCTTTTTTTCCACTAGTCAAAGGGATGACATAAAAAACCCCAACTAAACAAACCTACAACAGCCAAACGTCTTAACTCACACCGATGCTCTTTGATTGAGGTCAAGAAAATGGAGAGAGGGATTAACCAACTTTAGGACTTCAGGGTTCCTGATGAGAGGGAACCCATGTTGGCAAAAGTATGAGAGTCTTCCTGTGCCACCCAAACCTGGAGCACATTTGGCATTACAGATCCTCCAGACAACTGAGGGACATCAGTGGGGTTACAGTCTCCATCAATTCTGCCCAGTATGTCAGGTTTTATTCATGAGATCGTATTTGTTCTTAGTTATCTTAGTCATAACCAACCATGAAGAAATCCAAGTGTGAAATGAGCACGTGTTCTTCTCATACTGATATTTTACTATTGTTACAGACTGCATCAAATTTTCTTATTCTCAGATATTGACATACAAATCACCTGGGACTAGAGGGCAAGTCATGCTCCAGGATGCCAATCCAAGACCAGTCAACACCAGTATCTGTAATGTAAGAGTATTCAAGCTACTCTGCATTCACTGTCCCCATACCTACTGCCATTATCTCTAGGTTTATAGTATTACCTACTCACTGAAATCCTGTTAAATTGAACTATTGGAGCAGTGAAACCACACGTACAACTAAGGGCCAGAATCTGCCTCAGGATCCGAGACCATAAGGCCACCCCCTGAAACTTGCTGTCATTAATGAAACTGTTAATGAATGCAAATTTGTTCATCCTCCCGTGACAACGCTTCATTACCAAAATAGCAGACATAATCAAAGTAAGCAATCACTGCTTTTCTATTTGTCAGATGATTCAGCAGAAAAGCCAACTCTTTTAGATCCTTATTGATATGATAATAAACATAAACATATTCCTTTCCAGTTCATAACACTGCAGTACAAAGGAACAGTGGAAAAGTGGTCAAAACTGCCTTTTTATGTATCAATCAAATTCCAACTAAATTAAACCAGATTAATTAACAAGAAAGTCGGAGAAAAAAACCCACAACTCCTATTGAAGTACTGGTAAATGCATTACTTTCCACATCACAACATTTCAAACTTTAACACAAAATGAAATAAAAATACTTAATTCAAACTGTAAGGAAGATAGATCCAATAACTGATATTTCTAAGAATCATGCAACATTTTATCAGGAATTATTTCTCCTCCTTTTTTCCCCCCAGAATTTGACATCACTTGGCCACAGTTAAAGATGCAAAAGCTGGAGTTTTTAAAGACAATTGCACCGAAATGTCTTCTAGTGAAGTTAAAATTTGCAGCAACTTTTCATCTTTTTCTAGTCTTGATAAATCTAGAAATATCTAGAAATAAAGGTGAATTTGTTTACAGATGAAACACTTTTCCACATGATCTCAAAATCCCTGGTATTAATCTGTTTCCAGTCAGTTATCTGTGCCAGGAGCACAGGACCCACTACAACAACTGTCTAGTACTATATATCAATTAAAAATCATATACATATATTAAAAAATTAAAGAAATCTTTAAAGGGTTTACCAAGGTTGCAGCATATTTTGTTATGTCATCTGTTTTTGAAAAATTAAACTAGCATCAAGTGCATTTAACCTTGGTTAAACATCTGATTCTCCTCTTTTTTGGAGGATAAAAGGAAAATAAAAGCACCTCTGGAGATGGAGGTTTTCAACACAGAAGAAGATACATGAAGGCAGCTGGAGACCCTGGGAACTATGGTCTGCTGATCCAGATTCATTTGGAATCAACAAAACCTAGTTGTGGCTTAATGACTGTGGAAAATACATAGAGAAAATTTTTTAAAGGTCTTACAATATGAGATGGTTGGCAAAGAACAGCCCGAGTAAGTACAAACTGCTGCCAGTGTGACGTCTGTCACCATAATATGGGGTGAAAACTGACCCGTGCCAGGTAACCAGGTACCCTCCATACCCGATCTGGCAGTCATATTAAAGACAAGAGAATTCTTGCTAATAATTCTTCACTGTTTTGCTCATTACATCACCCCAAAATTATTTATTTCAAAGGTCCAAAACTGCATTCTAGTAGGAAGCATTTCTTCCTTCAGTAGCCAGTTAATTTAATTCCCATTTTCTGCCTTTCCTTCTGCATGTTCTACATGACCTCTACGCCTTCAACTCTCTCTGCAGTCCACTGCTCTTCACTGTCTAGCTCTCTTCATTCAAGAAATTCTAAAAAAAAAAATATCACATACTTTGCAAAACTAACAAGCAGCAAGATTTTATTCTTCAACGTTGGGTGATTTCTCAGTCCAGAGCCCATGAATCCATTTTGAATTATATTTTCTTCCCTCCACAAGACATATCATATTCAGCTCATTTAATTAAAATTTACTGAGTCATTATCCAAACCTTCTACATACTGAAAACGCAGCACCATTTAAAAATAAATTAAGACTACAAGCACAAGTGTCATCAAAATGAGTCTTTCAGGCTTTACTAAAGTAATGGAGTCAGTACCTCCAGTGAAACGTAAGTTCTCTTCTGACAAAATACTAAGAAAACATCGAATAGAGCATTTTTGCTTTATTTTTATTATTCAAATGGGAGTTTTTGTAAAACATATTGATGTTATCTCAGTCTCTCTCTCTCCCAAGGAGCACCCTGTGAGCCTGAACCCTGCTGTAGGTCTGAGCTCATTCTGCCACCGCTACATCTCCTAGGTAAAGAGATGCTGGACCTCTGTGGCCAGCATCACCCCTTTTTGGGAACTCACCCCTCCCTTTTTCTGCAATTAAAATACGCACCCTCCCCTACAGACTTCTCCATTAGAAATGTAGTTAATGGTTGAAAAATGTCCTGCTAATTGGAAACCCTTTCCCGAATTGCAACAATTGTAGAACTGCAAGAAATTCATGAATTGCAATTATTCATAGCAGACAGTAATGAACTCCAGTGCCTTCTGCAAAGAATCGTGTTTCTGCTTTTCTCTGAAGGCGAGTGTGCTTCATTTAGATTAATTCAGGATTATTGGCTTGTTATTATATTTCCTCTGCAAGCCATTTACAGTGTGCTGTCAAAAACATGGCAGGAGACGCTTTGGGTCATATTTTGGAAATACCTGGACTTTTCAGAACTAAAGGCTGTAATTTCTATCCATAAATCTAACCAGGCTTTATCCTGGTACCATCACCACAAATGAAACTTGTGGGTACTGCTTTTGAAGGGCAACCCAGAGCAACCATTAAGACCAGTTGTGATGCCTATTCAGACAGAAAGCTCACAAAGTGATGCAGAAGTGGTGGCTGGAAAGCTCTTCTCCCAGACATGTGTGGAGCCCAGCGAGGTCCGGGTGTGCCCAGCAGCTTTGAATATCATGAGTTGAACCCACACTGGTTAGCTGAAGGCTGATGACAAGAGGTAGGCAGGAATGGGAAGGATGCCATTCTTCCTCCCTGCCTTTTTATAGAACTGGTATGGGGACAAAACCTAAGAATTCTCCTAAAAGGAGAATACCAGGTGCTAGACATTTACGCACATGCTTTGCAAAAGTGACCATAAAAATAAAAACAACTGAGAATCACCAAAAGCAACAAGTTTCACATGAGTTTTAGAGACTGTGGTTGCCCTGTGTTACACTTATTTATCAATATGATGTGTCATTACATATGGAAAGTCTCATGTAGAAATTAAAACCAACTAGGCTTATTTTGCACGAGTTTCTGCTCGCTTGCTTGCAGCCAAGCAAGTCTGCGGTACTGTGTGAAGCTCTTTAATGACAGATGCCTAATCTTCTGCCAAATTGCCATATTTGACAACACTTAACACTGGAACACATGAAAATTATTGTGGTCCCTGCGAAGAACGAGCCAGAACTGCACAGATCAAGATGACAGCAAGTTTCCAAACCTTTTGGGTGGCAAGGAGAGAGCTCTGGCCTTACGATGTAGCAAGTAATGGTCTCAATCACAGCCTCTGAAAGGTTTGACATATCTGGTAGCATCTTCTGTGTTTAGAAATTTTAAACAAAAGCATGACATGGTGTTTTACAAGAATAGGACTAGGAAAAATTTCACCTGGTTCAGAAATAGCTTGCCAGCAATAGGCTAAGCTTTGTACAACCTAACACCAAAGACCTAGACGAGCAGAGGTATACTCATAAAATCACAACACGCTGCCACAGCAATCCTCCTTCAAAAAGAAAACGTTCATTTTTCCTCAGTTTCATGTCTGAACTTCTGGAGACTTCAGTGGCACCACCGTCCCCAACTCAGTCCCCTGCTAAGTACAGGGTGACACCGGAGTGCAGCGAGAAGAACACTCGCAGCCATTCTGTCCTCGCTGCTCCTGGGCAAATCCCATGATTTTGTGAGGTTGTTGCTGTGACTACAGCCTGTCACTAACTCAGTGCTCCAGGAACCAGCTCCAGAAAGGCTGACCTTGGGGCAAACTGAACTCCCAAACAGTTATTCTGCTCCTAAGAGTTTTTACAGCCTGTACTGAGCGCTGAAGTGCTGCAGCTGGAATGTCCAAAGTATCAAACTGCCTGGCTTCATGCTAAACCAGATACGTGACTATCTTAATCACACCTCTCATCCAAGGGTTTGTTTTTTTTTCCTGTCCCAGTTCACAGCCTGGAACTCCCAGTCTATGCCAATATTGAAATGTAAAACAGAAAGCTTGAAAAGGCAGCAATCCCTAAGGCTGGAGAGCTGCAAAGCGAACGGCTGCTCCAGAGTGCAGAGATGTACACTGCTGTGTAGTTTGATTACACAATTTTATCAGTAGACTTGGGCACTTTCAGTTTATGACTAATTCAATAAGACTTTCAATGCTTATTGCTGGAAAAAAATGTTTACATGTTGTTGGAAGTCAACAGCTGAGGGTATAGGTGAATCACAGGCTCACACTGAGAATTACTAACACCAAAACCCATTCACTACCATGTAAACACTAACGCAACAGTGACATACGTTGTCATTGGTAGATAAAGTTTATGGTTCCTCGAAAAGAACCTGGAAGTATATTTTTGTTTTCTTTTCCTGTTTTCACCTGCTATTCTGGACATTCCCATTATTAACTTTTTTTTTCCCCCTCTCACAGCCACATTATCACCACGGCTGTGACATCCTCATCTGCCTCCTTGCTGGCATTTTAAGAGTATTTTGTTGCAGGTTTTTAGTACTGTTTTATAGCCTTTGCCTTTCCAGTTTTCTATCAGCACCTGGCTCTCTCTAAATCAGGCCAAATTCTACATCAAACTGAAAATAAAATCTGGCCCTTGACCTTAAAGAGAGCAATATGCATGTACTCTCTGTGCTCAGATACAATGACAATTAAAGAACAACCAAACAATGCCCTCAGCTTGACAGACTTCAGAGAGACTACAACTGTTTGGATCTCCGGATGACACTATCTCACAGAAAGACATAAACAAGCTTTTTGTCAGATTAAAACAAATAAAGCAACGTAACTTGATACCTTTCATTCTCCCGCAGCTGCTCACCTCCCTTCTTCCAGGAGCATTTGGCCTTAGGGGAAGCTTTGGGTTTGCATTCAAAATCAACTGTGCTGCCTATTTGAACCTGGATCAGTTTCTTCATCGGATTCTTGGAAAAATCTGGAGCAGAAGCTAAAACAGAAGGGATAGGAAGAGTCAAATACAGCACCTTTATTTATATTAATGATACTACGCTTTAGCACTTAGATGACACTTCTCAGATTCTGAACATAATTAAAAACATGAATTAGTTCAAATGGATCTTTTATTGGACATTTATGTGTTTCTCCTCCTTGCACAAAAGTAGAGGTCTCAGTTGTGCAGAGCAGGTCACCTAATGAAGCCTGCCCAGAAGATGACACTGCCTTCATCTGAGCTGAAGCTCATGGAACCCAAGGAGCGTTAAGCACATGCCCAACTTTACGCTTTGCTGAACGTGAGCGTACATGACTCGTCTAGGCCCAGGGAGGGCCCTCAACACCAGCAGCCTCATTAAAGCTCAAGGAACTGGTTGGCTTCTGGATCCGTGTGAGAATGCACGTCACATCAGATATGTCAGATGGCACAAAATCACAGCACAGCTCCTTCCAAATGGCTACAGTTTGCATTAACCAACAGTTAAGAAAAGGCACGTGGCTTCTACCTGTACTAGCAGTGAACTTCAAAAGGGAATTCAGTATTTTAGGAAACCAAGGCTGAGGGAACAACTTGCTAACTGCCCGCCATCTTAATAAAAGAAAGGAAATAACTCATGTCTCCTAAACATGCTGCTCTTACAGGCTTGGTTTAGAAATCAGTCCACACCGGAGGTAGAAATGGCACAAGCGTATGAGTAAGACAGTGCCTGGTTCAGTGTTTGTCACCATTTTAGACTCAAGCACACACCGTTGGAATGACAGTCCCTTGTCCCCTCGCTGGAGAGAGGCTGCAGGCAGGAGCAGATATTGCTTTTAAAGGACAGGGCTCCCCTGGGAGCTGGAGGTGGGTGCGGAGCCACCGCTGCCCCCGGACCACAGGAGCCATTTTCATCTTCGGCCCCTCATCCAAGCCCCCATCTCTGCTCTCCCCCTAATTAATAATTTAGCCGTGTTCTGTTTTAATGCAATGAAATGATTGGGCTGCAAATCCTCTGGAAGCAGATGAGTCGACTCCTTGGCACTGCAGATAAAGATATCAGCGCGGCAGAAATGTTTATTTCAGTGATAGCATCTGAGGGAGGTAAATTGGAGATCACGGCAAGGTGGAACATGAGGCAGGTGGAGGGGGGGGATGGGGAGGGAGAATGAGGTTTGTGTTTTAGTGCAAAAGGAAAATCTTACCTACAACCCTGAGCTCTGCACTTGAATAGATGACACCATGTTTATTTTCAGCTATGCACTGGTATCTGCCAGAATCTGTCAGATTTAGATTTGATATTGTAAGTGCACCATTTTCAATTTGGATCCTTCCCTGAATATTAAGAAAAATATCTTTATTGATGATATATTTCCTGTGGAAAATTTAAAATAAGTAAGAAATATAAATAAGACAGCATAAATACAACAAATGGGGTAAATGTAACAGCGTAATCATGAGAACAGTTCTAAAATAAGTGACACGACCTCATCAGGGTATGGCAACGGTGATCAAGTACAGAGCCTTGGCAACACAGCGTAAGAAATCGATTCTTCAAACTTGCTGAGTTTCACAGAGGCTTTGCAATCTCAAATACCCTTGTATTTCCCTAGAAATACGGACAAAATCCTCCTAGGCTCCTCACGACAGACCAGAGCATCCAAACTATACAGATGGCACTGGCATTTCGTACTATTTAGAGATTTCACACATGCCATTTGCTAATGAGCTCTCTGCAATATCATGCAGAAAAAATTCCAACAGTCATTAAACAGAAGATACGCATTTAAGTGCCTTAGAGACGACAAAGCTACTGAAGTATGGGCATCTTCTCACCTTGCTTATTCTTGGAAAGCTATATGAATTACAATAAGAAGTGACTAATTTGAAGGATGGAGTGGCAGGAACGGGTGAGAAAATAAACCAGTGAGAAAGACAAAACCAATGGAGTTTCTCTTTTTGGGAAAACCAGAGAAAGAATAATGAACAGAAGAACAAACTATACACTCAAAAACATTATCTGATTTTGTTATTTTTTAATTGGGATGTGGCTCACCAGGCCTAAGGCAATGGTGCTCACTCTTCGGCCTTTTTTTAAGGGCATATATTTCCAGTTGGCCCACTGCAGGGTAACTCTGGCTACCTTTGGGCAGCCAGGGTGGCTTGGCTCAGCTCAGCTCCTTCCTTGGCAGGTCCTCTCCTGTGCTCAGGCAGTTAGACAAGGGACAAAAGCAGTCCCAAAAAGGAACAGGCCTGAGTCTCCATGTCTTGATCCTCTCCTTAGCATTCCAAAGTGCTCTTCTTACAAAAGATTGGTTTATGGAGCAGGGGAGCTAAGAGGAACAATCCCAGCAGGAGATTTTTGTGGAGGAGACCCAGCATGAAGAAGGATTATTGCAGTAAGAGGAGCTGAGGACAACTCATCACGATATACAGAGAACTCCTCTTCTGATGTCTCCTCAGCACCGGCTTTCAAAGAGTTAATCTTATAGTTTACAGCCCTTAAATATTTCCAGAGTAAGTCGTGTTTATGCCCTTACACCGTGCCAAAAGGTGAGACACCAACACCCATAAGTGGAGAAACCGGAGGACTGAACGAGAGCTTGTACTTTTGTACTTACTGAGGTAAAAACGCGCATTACCTTAGTTACGTCGTGTGATATGGACACAATGCTCTTAAATCACTGAGACAAGATTTCTGTACTCCCTCACTTAACTGTCCACAAAACACTGCCATTCCTTTTAGCGAGCGGGTAACTATAGCACTCTGAATGGTAAGAAAGGTTTTTCAGTGCTTAGATCATTTTTCATCGCCATCCACTGAATTCACTTGAGCAGTCGCTCTCTCCTCTTCTACTGTGAGTGCCAACACGAACACAACGCATTGGCCAAGGGCAAAATACCTTCCTGCAGTGGGACAGTGCCCATAGTTTATATTCCTGATCACCCAATGAGGAGTGAGAATTAAAATCAATATGCATATCAGATGCTTTTGCATGTTTCTGATCTGGGAGACCATGTATCTCATCTTCTAAGTACAAAGTCTTTTCCTTGTCACCAAATGCATTACTTACCATTAATTTACTTGTAACAATTGTATTAAAGCACATACCTATGTTACATTACTGTTTATATTTCATTCTTCGCATCAAGTGATGGTGACCTATGAATTTTTAAGATTTTTGTCTTTTCTCGTCAAGAAGCTTAACTATGTTTTCTTGTAACCTTTAGTGAAATGCCAATAGCAAGTATAACAAAATCATCTAAGTTCTCTATCCCTCATTTACGGTTTTTAATGTTTAACTTCAATTAAACTTCCTTCTCCAGCCTTTTCTTACATTCTGATTTTCTATGATTCTATCACGGCTTTTATATCTCCTTTTAGCTGGGATATTTCTGTACAACATAATTAGTCTTTGTGTTTCTGGCATTGCAGCTTTTGAAGTTTCCATCTGGATGCTCTTGACAAACATATGAAAACAAGTATCAAATATTTCTCTTGACTAATTACGTGGACTTTTGCAAATTCTCAAACTGACATGAAGTACTGTTAATTTTACACAGCATCGTGTTTTCAAAATGGAACGTTACCTCTATTGACAGTTGGTCTCCGTTCTTCAGCCACCTATACGATGGTTTGGGCTTCCCACTTGCTCTACAATCCCAGTATAAGGTGTCCTCTACAGCAACTTCAATATCTTTTATCGTCTGGATCCAGTGAGGTTTTGCTGCAGATGAAATACAGATCAACAACAAAAACCCTAACAAGTTATTGTTCACTACGACAATCAAAGGGTTAACTTCCACAGCACTTGTCAGTTTTCTGCATGGACTGGTTTGTACCACAGAAGATTCTCCCTGGTTCTGCTTCAAGTCACCTAATGAAAGAAATTACTCACTCTTCCTTTATACATTTTTATTACCAGCAGTAAACCAAAAGAAAATTGAGATTACAGATCACTAAAGCCAAACTAGTGAAACCAATATTAAAAATCACTGATGATTAAAAACACAACTTTGAAATTGAGGTAAATGTAAGATAAAGAAATTAGTGGTGATACTGGAATTAAATAATTGACATAGCTAAATCATCAAATTAATACTGAAGAGAATCCTTTAAGTCCTAAAAAACCAGTAATGCTATATCAGCCTTTGTTCTAAATACCATTTGGATTGTTTTCTAATGCTTGTCAGTACTTAACTGGATGAATACATGGATATATGAGACTGTTTTTGAAAGCATTACTATTAGCACCGCATTTGGGCGATGCAAACCAAAATATGGCCTCAAGAAAGTCCATAAAACTCACTCACTTTTTTAAAAAAATTGATGTATTAATAGCATACTTCCTTCACAATTACCTAAAATACAATCCAAACTGGAAAGATAAGAGTTTAAAACATCTGTCACAGCTTTCATATAGTGGGGGGAAAAAAGCTCACTTGGCAAATAAACATCACTGCATGAAAGACAACAGTTTATTCCTCTAGTGCTATTTCACACAAGAGCACAACACTGTTTTACAGCTAATTCGTGTGAATTTTCTTTGAATGTGTTCAATGTAATAGAAAGTTTATAATCTCAATATACACTATTTTTCCAAGAAAAGATAAATTCCGGACATTACATACGGAGAAAACATAAAAAGCAGGATGAAACTTGGTTGCAAATACATAGCTAAGGGCAAAAGAATCTTCCAGAGTGAATTTGATTATCTAAAGATTTTCCTACATTGATAATTTAGGAAACTCCCATAACACACTCTTATCAAAACAACTAGGAAAACAAAAGTCCCTGGTGATACAGCAAAATATTACTATTTAGTAGATGAGTTTTGGAAGCACAGAAGGTCAGATTAATTCCTGTTGAACTTCCCACTACAATGGAGTTACACGACAGTAATTAATTCAGGCCAGGGAAATTAATGACTCGCCTATGGCCACGAGGGAAGTCTGCAGCAGGGCTGAGAGCAGAACCTGTTCCATTGCCATAGGCACCAGACCAGCAGACCAACGTTGGGATGAGGGTTGGTATTCATTTCATTTAAAAAGATGCATTGTCTTCTAGCATACAAATTTCCTCTCCGTTATATATTCTGCAATGCAGCGATAAGATCTCAACATGATCAGGTACAGCACCACCCTTCTATGATAACAAGGATTAAAACTATTTATGATTTATGTGTACATACTCAGGATTAACTTCGCACGAAAGAATTTACTACAATGCATTCATTGAGATATTAACTTAGGAGGTTTTGGAATTCAACCAGGACTTGCTGATAGTGAAACCTGTTATTTTATTTTGTACGTCTCTTATATCTCATCAGGATCAATGCCTTTCGCTGATTTGGAGCTGATACGACTTTTTACACTCTCTTTATCAAGGTCAGCTCTAGAAGGAAGGATAACATGATCTTCGTGTCAGACAAATGTACCTTGTTACTGATATTAATTGTGGTTAAATGCTGAAAGTTAACGTTACAACACCAGAATTCAAGAAAGAGCCATTGCTTTACCTCACACTGTCATTTGGCATATTTGCCCCACATGTGTCAGGGGGATGAAAGCTCAGGACTCCACGTGGGTGTGCTTCCTGCACTTTGCATACCTAAAAATTTATGCAACACGCAACAGTGCTTGAATTATTTATGGATCCAAACATGTGTAACATTTCACATCTGCTGCCTATCTTCTCTTGAAAGTAGGTTAAATATTGTCTAGTTTCAAGTTCAAGATCTTGGATTCAATTCCATTAATAAGAAAAACATGTCTACCTATAAATCTTCATCTTAGGAATCTTCGTGTAAGGCAGTCTCCATACAAGGGTTTCCCAAGTCTCCACGGTGTCTATGATAAACTAGGTCTTTTTGGAAAGCATGGGAGCAAGAACCATTCAAAACAAAAATAAACAGAGCTGAGCTTCCTAAGCCACTATGTGAGAAATTTATGGTGCTTGTTCATTTGCAAGAGGGTGTGATTTTATTGAGGAAGGCTCTTTTTCTCTTCAAATTACCCATGAAGGAATTCAGCGGAAAGAAAAATAACCCTTTCAATCATCCACATCTCAAAGTCTTCAAAAAGGCTGTAAAAGTATTAGAAACTCTTTGGAAAAGAACAGTTCAACTAACCAGTTCAAAATTGAAAAGGCAGCTAAAAAGGGGGCAATTCCAGCTGGGAACATTGCACTGAACACTCTGAATCTTGGCCAAGCTAAAGATGATCCACGTTGCAGCAGCGGAGAGAAGCGCAGACAGAAGGTCATGTATCAGTAGATCTACACAGCCTCTCAAAACAGAAGTGTGACTTTCCAAGACCAACACTGCCATTTTTATTGAGCTCTGCCTGACTGTACCTAAATGATTCTGAATTTACAGCTTTATTCCTCTTGAGGTCTCGTCACTGTTTGGCAAGTGCCACCTGCTGAGAACATCTGGTTCCACCACCATCACCACTGTGCTCCCGAAGGAAGACCAATGACTTGGTAACAAAGCCTCATCTGGTTCCACCACCATCACCACTGTGCTCCTGAAGGAAGACCAATGACTTGGTAACAAAGTCTTTCTCCCATGGAGCTACTGCATTGGCTTGGTGTATAACCTAGACCTTCCTGAGGAGACACAACTCCTCCTTCCTGGAGCAAGGAACAGCCATGCAGGCAATGTATTTTCATTGAGATGAACAAAAGACGATGTGCTGTAAGTTGAGAGGTTGGGAGTTAATTTTAATGGCGTTTGTAGTGCAGGGTTTGTGACCGTGACAGGAATCCATATTGTGCAATAATATTAAGAATTCTTAGGAACTTGCTGTGCAATCTTCATGAAAGATTCATATAAAGTTCCCTCGGGACGAAATACTTGTAAGTAGTTGATTTTCTAAAGAAGGTTAGCTGTCAGCCTCATGGTCAGTCACTCGGAAAGGCACCAGCCTGTATTTTGCTTCACTTGCTTTTGCCTAAAATATTCCTTGCAATACTCATGGTCCCACAGGCAAGAAGTGATACCAGCGTGTAACTTCATAAAATTTATCCCAGTGAGAAGACTCGGTCATCTTCTCTTCTGGTGGCAACGATAACCCTTTTCTTCCAGCTAATTAGGCCAGGCAGGTCTTCCTGAAGAGAACAACTGTTGCCTCATTACACTCTAGGTCATCCCCGTAGGCCATAAGGAAAGGAAGAAACATTTTTCTAGACTTCTAAGAAACCCTTTGCGATGACTCTTCTGGGGGTTGATGTGAATGAAGATCAGCTTCAATAAGTGACTGTGATGAAGTTCTTGGAAGCAACGGCTGAAGAAGTCGACACTTTTCAGAAGCTGTCTCGAGATCTAATTTGTAAACAGTTTGTGATGCATGTCAACACCTATTTTTATATAGGATTTCTTCCAGAGTAGGAGACTCCAGTGAAAATGTCCTTTTAATTCTGTAATCCATTGGAATATCATGAAGGAAAGGCAGAGTTTCAGGCCCATGATGTTTATCTCAGCACTGTGCTCTCCCAGGGAGAACTGAGGTCTGCCGTGCCTCTGCTTGGTGGAGAAGTCTACGGGAAGCTCTTCCAGAAAAGTCCCTAATTGGGGCTCACGCACAAGATGCAGTTGCCTTATACATGTATCTTTACTCTGAAATTTACAGTGTGAAAGCCAGGCTGAAAATCTCCTTTGAAAATACTCTTTGGATAGCTCACCAGTTGGGCAATAAATCAGTCTCAAAAGGAAGCTTCCCTCGTTCAAGAGAAAGCAGCTATGAAGCATACTGGGGAAAAAACTAACAAGAAAATATAACCTTCATCTTTTTAAGTAGTACACCTGGAAAGTCAGGCTATGACACTCATACCGATGCCTACAGCAATGATGAACCTTATTTTATCTCAAAACTCCAAGTGTCTTTAAGCATGAATAACTTTTTCCTGATAAAACAACTGGGTCCAGAGAAGCATCTAACACATCCCTGAAGACGTCCATTATTTGACTTCCATTCAAAAATAAAAATGCTCTCAAGCAACAGGTAATTGCTACATCACCAGAGAAAGTTTTAGTATGTAAAAAAGATAACAAAAGCTATTAGACAGCATCAACAATTAGACTCTAGGTTGATCAAACTCCATAACTCCTTGATATTATTTAGTCATTTCTAGTTTTTCAGTTAGTGTTTTGAAAACATCTCTATGAACAAGACAGAATGAGACTATTGGACAAAAGGTTTAAACAGTGAGGCTCCTCCACATACATGAATAATGTATTTTCAGTATAATTCTGGTGGTACAATATTACCAAAATAATTAGCAAAATAGACAAGTATTTTTTGATATATGAAAAAATTACATATAATTTACGTATTACTGGGGGGTTCACCTTTGCTATCACAGACCACCACTGCAGAGCAAAAGAAGAACAGCAGAATTTTTTCTCCCTGTTAAACATTTTACCTTGAAACTGTCAAACATGAGTTCCGTTAAATCAGCATGTTCTAATGAAGAATATCTTTTCTTCAATTATGCTTCAAATTAATTGCTTTAGGTATCTCTAACCACATTACATGTTTAATTGCACCTTAAAATAAAAAATGTAATTGTTTCATCTCTTCTCATTTTTCCATGCCATGAAATGTCTGTCTTCTTCTATTATCTCTTTATGGAAAGGGCTAATAGTGATGACAAATGAATATACTAATAAAGTGAAAGCAAATTATTTATATATTCAAAGTTAGATAATCTTGTCCTATTTTTAGCACATTCTGAACTCCCCTGAGGTGAAAACTGGCATTAATCAAATGCTGGAACTGTATAAATGACAACAAACTGAACATTTGATGATAGCTTTTCTTGATAAAATCCTTCATGAGAAAAAAGGAAGATTAATACTCTGTCAGTAATGTTATGGAAGAACCCAGAATATCTGTTTTAGAGTATCTATTTTAATTATCAACTTCAACTATGGGTTGAGAGTTATATTTAAAACCCACAACAAATTAAAAAAAAAACAGATCCATTTTATTTTTCATGAAGAGAGTTAGAGATGTGTACAGAATTTCTAAACCAAACATATGCACAAGCATCCTTGAAAAATGACTATGGACATGATTGAAGTTGAGTTAATGTTTGAGCACTTTGTGCTTTCAAGACTGTAATTCATTACTGGAAGAAGAGGCAGGATACTATAGAAAAAATAAGTGATTTTTTTTTTTAATCAAATAATTTGTGCACTGAAAAACCCAATTTTCAGATTTCAAATTTTACAGGTTCAGCTCATAAAACAAAGAAGGAGAAGAAGAGTGTTTTGCTTCACAGCAGAACAATGAAATGTTCCAAGCTTTTGTTTAGGAGTAGCTTTATGTTTCATTTACAAAGAATCTTTAAAATCTGCAGAGAAAGGAAAACCTATTTTTCAGTCACATGGAAAATTTTTGTCTATTTTTTTTCCCCTTGAGATTTATTTTTCACATTACTTCACGATGACAACTTTGAAAATGTTAACCCCAATTCTTCCCGTACTCTTTTTTGGGCAAGCCAGAAACCTGCTTTGTTCTGCTGAGAAGAGGAAAATAAATGTTGTAACTGCTGAAATAAAAAGGCATTTTGTCTGCTTGTAATCCTTATATTTTTCTATATATGAGTAGCAGACATGTCTTACACTTCTACCAATAAAGTGCTTTAACAGCAGCCAACATCCACTAACATTAACACACAGATTTGTGTCATCTTTGCCAGCATTGGTACTTTCTGGCAGATGGATATTTTTTGCTCTGTCTTCAGTACATTGCATTGGTTTTCCCCAAATCCTCATCTGCTTTTAGAACAACTTCCTTAAACATTGATCTTTTATTGGAAGACTGAGTGGCATATGGTTAGATTCTTTATCATACAGATCCCTGAGCTTTGATAGCAGGCGCAGCAGCCAACCATCAGAAGATATTATCTTCAGTTATAGAACATCATTAATCTACAAACAGAATTAAAATCCTCCAAATTATCAAGAAGTGTTAAAATAATCCTATCCTGAACACAGACTTGTTGGCATTCTGTCTGCAACAACAAAGCAAGTAACAAAATAAGAAAGATTACTTAAATCTACTTAATTCTGCAGAATGGGTTTCATTAAGCAGAACAAATGAAATGAAACAGTTGGAGTGCCATTAATGCCATTACAGGTCTCATTATTCTTCTTAGGCTAAACATCCATGTTAGGGATGAATCTAATATGGGCGGACATTTATATTGGAATATGAACCCTATTTGAGGGTCCAATTCCCCTCCTGGATTTGCAATGAAAATGTTCACACTGATTTACTTGTCACAAAACTGCAACTCGCTAGCTTTTATTGATTAGCAACATCCTTTATTTCAGCTCTGTGTCCTTTAATGAGCAAAACAAAACCGGGGAAGCAGGTCAGATATCTCAAGATTGCCACTATCGCAATTACATTACAAGGACTAATGAACAGATCCACTCAATTTTGTATGTAGTTTACACTGATATGTCTTACAACTGCCCTGATTTAACACTGGAGTGGGAATACTGAGCCAAACTGATGTTCAAACCACAACTCGTTTGAAACTATCAAGTAGCGAATAAGAGTCAAAATGCATAGTGCCAAGTTTGGAATGACAGGTGGCACTGGCAGATGAAGCTTCTTAGATATTGTGTTCCTGTTATTCATAAGATTTCTCAAAAAGTCGTAACTACAATGAGTATATGGAAAATTCAAGTTGTTCAAAATGCCCCGTCCAACCTGACCTTGAACATCTCCAGTGATGGGGCACTGATTCAGTGTGACTATAAATTTGGAAGTTGGGGTGGGGGGGGAGAAGTCTTGTCCTTCCTCCTTATAATATCCATTGTGCCTTAAATTAAAATCTTCATTGACTAAAACATACACTGCAGGACTCTGTGTTCCAGGCAACAGCAGCTCCCCATACAGAAGCAGGAAACAGAAAGAGCATTTGCTCCAAGTTGCAGAACAGCCACGTTCCATGCTTTTACACACAACTTTAAAAAAATAGCTTTGCTTAAATATTCCTACATGAGGAACAGCATTCCAGCACAGTCTGAAACGCTCTTTAAATTGCCATTTACCTAAAGAAAATTATATTTGCTGAGATCTGGCTTTAACAAAAATTGTCAATTACCACTTTGTTGCAAATCACTCCAGCTTTGAAACACCACCAATGTGCTTTGCCAATATTCATTTCACTCTATAGCCTTAAATGCACAAGAGACTCTCTCTGTTTCCAGCTATTAAATTTTGTATTATTTCATTTCCTATGCTGGATTATATTCTCTCATTTATTTACTCATTTTAAAATAAAATTGGCCATTTTGAAAGCAAAGGATTGACAATATCCATCAGTAATCTTTTCCTAAAGCAAGGTAACATTTGCATTTCCTGTAAATGTGAGGCCTAAATGATCCCCCAAATAAATCCAATTGAATGAAAACCTAAGGTTTCACCAGAAAGACCTTCCATCATAGAAATATAAGTAACAAGCACTTTCTACATTACTCTTAGCAACCCTTTTGAGCCTGGACATTTATTACAAGTGTTACACAAAACCCTGGTGCAGGAGCTCTCATTCTCCACGAGTAGTTAAGATGCCACAGAATTTTAAGCACAAACACTTGCTGGTATAGCAGAAGCTGTAAACCCAAAAGTACCTTAAGAGTGGTTTATATTTCATGTGTAAAGAAAGGTGGGAGAGAAGGAGAAAAGAAGTTTCCTACCATAGTAAGTGAGACGTCCTCTTGCAATGTTTTTTCCTCTTGAGTTTTCAGTAATACATTCGTACAGCCCCGCGTCCTCCTGCTGGAAATTAGGTATTTCAATCATGCCATTGGATTTCCTCAGCTTTATTTTACTTGGAAATGGCAGACCATCAGTTCTTCGCCAGTTAATCTGAGGCACAGGGCTAAAAAGAAAAGAATGGGTTTTTAAGCAGCTTTGCTAAAAATACCTGATTGGCAAAATTAGACGCTTAAACTAATATATGATAAAATTCAGAAGTGACTAAAAGCTCGTGTTAAAAGTGGTATTCGTACTGTAGGTGACAGATGGTCAGACACTACAGCGACTGATTTGCATGTATCTGTTTTATACGCTATTATTTGCAGTACCAATTTTTTCATTAATATCTGTGTGAATGTCCAATGATCATAAAATTTCTTGTAAATCAGCTCTGGCCTCCCCTGAAGTCGGGGGAGATTTACCAGTGACTGCCATGGGAGGAGAAACCAAGGCAAGTCTTTTGAAATTCTCATCCTAGAACAGCCATTCATTCTCCTATTTTAAAACTTTCACTCACCTACCCGGGGACCCAGAGCAGTAACATGTGATTAAGTTATCAATCTCATACTTAAAAAGTATCAACACCTGACAAAGCTGTCTGCAAATAAACTGCAAAGTGGTAAGTAAATACATTTACAGAAACATAAATGCCTTCTCAGATCATTTGTGCAAGAGAAAAGATATAAATTGTGTGCGAAGTATCATTCAGAAGAGGGATGCATTTTAATCTTTATTTTAGCTATAAAGAAAGAATAACATTATGAAAGCATCAAGTACATTTAACAGTAAAATTCAGACAAAATTCTCACTGACTTCAACAACACTTTCTTCTACACAGAGAAAATGGAAGAAAGTAAAAGAATATATGCAAAACTGCACTGATCTTATTCACGGTAATCTGAAATGAAATTTAAGTTACTGTGCTGCCAGAACAGACATTTTAATTCTAAACAAAATCAAAACTTACTCCAAGACTCTTTGCCCTCCTATTCCAAGGCAATAATTGCAATGACCAAAATAGGGTCTTTAAAAAACACTACCGAAATGGCTGCCAGAACTGCCCATCTGTTGCGCAGATCAACCCTAATGGGCTTCAACTCACAGGATGGGTAAAGTCAAAAACTTACTTTCCCAGTGCAAAGCATTCCAGCTTCACCGTGGAGCCTTTAGCCGCAGGAAGAGTCTCAGGAAACTGAACTTCTATTTTGGGTTCATATTCCCCCATCACACCTACACGAGACAATTGAAAAAGGCAATTTTTAATTTTTAAAGCCTCGTTTTTTCTCTCTTTAGTGTTCCATCACATTAAATTCCGAATCAAGTTTATTTCTCTCGCGCTCCATTGAGGTATTTATTGATGGTGTAGAAGGGAAGTCCTACCATCCGTGCGCAGCACGAGAGGCGTTGGTGACCCAAGAACCTGGCTGTTGGTCACAGCGCTGGTCACAACGCAGGTGTAATTCCCAACATCCGAGGGCTCAACTTTGGCAATGTAGAGGTGACCCGTCTCTTGGGACACAAATCGCCGACTGTCCTCTTGTACAAATGATGGGTATTCATTGAAGATCCAAGCAAATGACAATTCTAGTTGGTAATAAAAAAGAAGCAAAGGTGTTTGGTAGGGCTGTTCACTTTTCTTTTTCCTTCAAAGAGCAGTTTATTTTATTATTGTATTATATTATTAATGCTATATACATTCTATACAATACTTTATTATGCAACAAACATGATCAGAGAGCCAATGATGGCGAGAAATAAATTTAAAATGGTACCAGAAACAAGCAAAACAAAACAAAAAAAAAGCTTAAAATGGTACCAGAAACAAGCAAAACAAACAAAAAAAGGCAAAACTAACCGTTTTTTCACCAAAGCCCTACCACCTCCAGCAGAAAAAAAGGTGAAAGGAATTCAAATTGCCTTACACGAGGATCACTTTTTTGATGTGCTCTTTTTTTTTTTCCTTTGCAGACAGCAAAAGTGAGACCAAACTTTGCTAAAATGGAGACATTACTCATTACTCATTCAGTAGCTATTTCACAACTCAGGTACGTAGCAGATAGAAACAGCACAGGTGTTTGCAAGTGAAAGGAATGACAAAAGAAGCATAAATTCCTATTAGAGCTCAACACAAAGCGAAACTAGTTTTTTCATAGGAAAATCCATAAAAATGCCATAAAGAAATCTTTATATGAAATGGCAAAGTAGCCGTTACTACCATTCGTTACTGTCACTCAAAAGGAAAACCACACTTTAAGAGATAAACTAAGAGATTTGGCAAAAAATGCAGTATAATTTGTTTTTTTCTGAACACTGCTCTGAGCTCCATGTGTCCAATTTTAATTGGCAAAAGCCCCTTCCTGTGCAAGGCCATGTGCTTGTCTCGTTCATATCCTACGGAATCAAAGGAAATTAATTTTTAATGGTTTTCCAAGCAAGAAATAATTTTTCACCCAAGTGCCGCTCAGCTGAAAGTTTATAAAAAGATTACAGCTTCTGCAAGTGCTAATTAGAGACGATTATAGCTTGATTGACCTGCCTTCATGCTAAAATATCTTGTAGCATTTACACTGCCCCTACAAAATGGAGATCGTGCCTTTTTGCAGAGGTTTAATATGAAAGTGAGTAAATTTGGATGCAGTCATGAAATGGAGAGTAGGCATTTCCATAACCCTCATCGTTGAGTACGAATACGCACCCAGCAAAGCACTAAGCCAACAGGACAATTTAACACAAGGTAAGATTGTGCAGATGAAAAAACATACAATAAATGAAATTATTAAAATATTTATGGACTGGCTAATGCAAAAAAAAGGCCTCAAATGAAATGGCTCATCATAATTGCATTTAATTTTCTTCTATCAATATTTAAACTCCTTCCATTAACATAATTTTGCAGGAGCAGCGTGTACGAACAATTAACGGTCTCAGGACTTTTCTCGAGTGAAACTTCTGTCGTATTTGGAAATACTTATTGTTGAAAACAGCCCTCTTCCCTTCTGGACCTGCAGTGTGTCTCCTCAGCTGAAACAATGGTTATCTCTAAAAGTTCCTTACATAACATGAGAGGTGTAATTAATTTATGATAAGGAAAGCCAACAAGGATTTGCCAAGAAAAGACAGGGTAGTTAGTCATCTGTGATCTACCTTGACTTCAACAAGAGTTTTGAGATGTGCCACATGAGTTCTCCTACACAAGCCAAAGAATATTCATATAACCAAGAAAAAAAAATACTCTGTGCAGCTACTCTTCCATCTTATAACTCAACTACCAAGATGTACGTATCAAGGGATGGCTGTTGAGTTGAGAGAGCTCGTTGAGTGAACACCACAAAGCAGGGAGGTGCCATCCGTGCACAATTCTGACTGTTTTCTGGCACTACTCAACATCTATCAGCCACTTCAAATAGAAAAAATAAAATAAAAAAATCATTTTAAGAAAGGAAAAAAAAGACAAAATACACCTGAAGAGCTTGTAGGGGACTACAAGGTCTTTAAGAGCAAAGATTACATGGTCTTGCTAAATGGGAAAGACTGAAAAATAAAGCATAATTCCATTTCTGGATGGGAGCTGGATGAAGAGAGTGACCACAAGGCTGAGGGAAAGGCTGTAGACCACACTAGGTATCAATTCAGGAACTGTAACAAAAAAAAACCTGCATCAAACTCGGAAATCCACAAGACACAAAGTGTGGGAAGCCAGGCTTTATTGGTTCTGGTATTTATTGAGCTACTTATTTTCCTTAGCTCAAAATATTATTTTATTCTAAAAATAGAAAATATAAAAAGGCATTATTCAAAACATTCAAAGGGGACGGACAGATCTGGATACGCAGCAGGAAAATAAGCAGCTTGATTTCGTTCTTATTATATTGGGTTAAGTCAAGAGTAAACTCATTGAAATCAGTCATTATGATTATGAAAGCCACGCAAAGTGTATTCCAGTTTAATTGGATCCTTCAACAGCCTATGAATAAGCACCCCTAGAAACCTAATTTCCCATTCAACATATATTTTCATTGACTCTCTTAAAAAAGGAGGGCACTTCCTTACCAGTGCCCCACAGCCAATATCTCATTTTATATTTATTGTACTTTACAAAATTGTATTCTTACTTTCCAAAAAAATTCATATTAAACAACTTGTTCTGTGATTTATTATGTTTACACCATTTGCCTGTTGCTGATCCTAGAGCACCTCAAGGGACATAAACTCGCTCCTTTTCTGTCAATTACAAGTTTTCAGTTGATTTTCTGTTATAAATGGAAGTAATATGTCTCTCCTGGGCTTCCTTGGAGCTCTAAGCCTTTGCTTTCCAATGCATTTTTTCCTTATTTGGCAACCGTACATGGATAAGGTATTGGAAATTACAGTTATTACTCAATTTTTATTTGTTTACTACATCTTGGTTGGCTTCTCCTCTTTATTTTGCATTATTTGATTATTATTTACTGTGCAGGCTACAAGCCACAACATGCTCAGCATGCTCATACGGTTCTAGGTGCTTTGTGCATCTAAGTGTTCAATTAAAAACAGCTCACAAAATTGCCTGTCATTTTTAAACTTAGATTTTTACTACACATCAGTGGAAGACCCTGGGATGAAACCAATATTATTTCTTGTAAACAGATGATAGTAGTGGTGGGAATCCAAAATTATACATTAATTCAGGAAGCCAGTAAAACAAAAGTTTAGAAAAAAATAATAATAAAGAAGGGCATATAGACCTATGACAAAAAGGAGAAGGATAATGCATAAAGTTTATTATACACTGTAAAAGCACAAATTCTGAAGGTCTTCTCTGCTCATTCCCCACTGTCTCTTGCTCATTTTGCTTGGGCTCACCGCTTCCATACATCTCCACTAGCCCTATAATTCACACCTAACTGAGATTTCTAAATAGCCAAAAGTAAATGATATGAACAATATTGCTCTGAAACAGACTCAAATTTATGTTCAAAACTGACTGAATTTCAATTAGTGAAGCAGATGTTTACATAGATAAACCTGAAAAGAAATGAAAATACTTGATTTTGAGTACATCAAGCTGACTGAACAATAGTTAGAAGTTTTATGTTGGTTTTTTTGGGGTTTTTTGGGTTTTTTTTTTTTTTTTTTTTAAAATGAAGTTTCATGTCAATCATTTGATACCTAAAATCTACATGACTTCATACAGTTCTCCAATTCAGGTTTTACAATATTCTATAGTAGAAATACAATGGGAAGTTGAAACATCCTGGTATTTCCCTCTTCAACTGGCACTCTGCCTAACCCGCAGGATGGTATATGGCTTTTAAAAAACTGTTTGCAAGAAAGTAATCAGACTAAATTTAGCAATGACAGAAACTGTAATTAAAGAGAGGGAAATTTGTAGCAACCAGCTATTTTGAATTATCTACCTTAGAGTTAAGAGTACAAGTAATGGAAAAGTAGCACTGATTTTGAGAGGATAATGACAGATTCCATAATTAAGAAAGAAACCAATTAGTTCATCTTTTGGCCCAGTTTCAGCTCAAACTGTGAAGAAATGACAGAAAGTGGAGAAAAGCCTCTCGCTTGGTGGATGAGCATCACTCGGGAGGGAGAAGGCTCCCAGGGCACAGCCCCAAAGCCATCGGGGACAGAAATGTCCCTTTGTCAACAGTTTTGAGGAACAGCTCTGTATTTTCATCTGCCCAGGAACCCCTGGGAAAGTGCAAACAAATTATTTAAAAGTAGGAAATTAATCTGCATGAGTTAAAGTGGATTAACCTAGACATAAACTTAGTTCACTGCAGCCTAATCCCTAGAAGATTGCGCTGCTCTGGGTTTAGGTCACTGTACGTGGGGATGCGAGTGCCCCCAGGGGAAAAAATACATTTTATCTTACATACACTGCCTTCAAACCTCTCATTAACTATTCTTCTGTTTGTGCTTGGGCAAACCCTGGCTACTTTATCCTACTTAGTTCACCACCTCCTTCCTTTGGCCAGCCAGCACAGCCAGCTGCAAGGCTCTTCCTGGTGCCTGGAATTCAGCCAAAATAAAGAGGCAATGCTTTATCTGTGCCATAAAATAAATCATATATTTTTAAATTTTTTTTGGCAAACATTAAATGTTGTTTTACTAATAAAAATCTTATGCACTGTATGCGTAAGACAAGGTGTTTATGTACGCCAGTATGGGATTCCCCAACTCTATGTAAACAGGGTATTATAACATCCTTAGGTGCTATTGGCAAAAATCATATCATTAACTCTTTAGAATTGTATTGGAAATAAGTTGTACATCATTTCAGGGTTTTAGGATATATTCTTGAGCACATTAAATAAGTTGTACATCATTTCAGGGTTTTAGGGTATATTCTTGAGCACATTAAATGCCAAGAAACTAAAAAACTGTCCTAAGTGTGTTCAGCTGGGAAAAACAAACCAAAACTCAGACTGCGTATTTCTGACAGGCATCCTCCTGAATTGTTTGCATGCAAGTACTTGTATCACTAATAATGCAATAGTCTTCAGCTGTTTACAAAAGCTGCAGTCACACTTCAGAGTACAGTCTATCCATGCAATCTAGGTTGGTAATTTACTTTTTGTTAATGTTTTCTA